CTTTTAAGAAAGCCTTTAAAAGTGTGATTTGCACAACATTTTAAATATGAATTTCACTGAAAGATTCCTTATTTATTTCACACGAGAACTAGGCCAGTCGGAAGGGGGCAATGAGGTTTTTAAAAGTTATATTATTTAAGGGTCAGTAAAAACTATATAATTTCAGTTTATTTTAATGTGCTTATGATTCTCAAAAATATGCTGGGGGCAAAGCAGTTATGATATTGCGGTCATGTCAGGGACTGGAAATACACCGAGTTACTTTTTCTATTTTAAATAGTTTCCTGCATTTGACCATTAAGTAGTCCTTATTTGATGGCTCTATGTTTTGGGTTTCCAAAACCCAATGTTCCTGGCATCAGCCGCTACGCTCAGTAAGACACTAAAATCAACAGGGGCCATGAAAGGTGCCACAGCTAAAAATTTCTGGCAGTAGGTGCCGGGAGGGAAGAAGCGTTCACAGTTGAATATCACACTCTATTAGAACATGAACCATGTATATTGATACGTTTTATTTTTTAGTAGCTCTTCTCATTTTAGTAATTATTGCAATGACCGATTAAAACTTTACTGATGACTTAATCTATAGTAGGCATGCATAACAGGTGACAAACTTAATACTAACTGAAAGATTGATTGTAGCCTTGGGGGAGGAGAGGCGAAAGGGCACGAAAACAAGCAATAGCTTGAAATCATGTTATTTCACCATCCTTTGTGCCTTCTGTCCAGAAAAAATTTAAATTTCATTAGACTGTTCTTCAGCGTACAAAAGTAGTAGCAGTTTTCCGATGATTCCTAATAAAATCTTCGTAAATAGCCAGTCAATTAATAACATCCATACCTTTAAGGCTGTAAATGGAGCAGCTGAATTTCTATAATCTCGTTGCAGAGGAAAACGTGTCATATGCTTAACATATCCCCCGACAGGATATCTACAGTGCACAATGATTTAAAAAAAAAAAAAAGGCAGATGATTGCAAATGAATGTGAGTGTCCTTTTCTACAAAGCACAGCGTGTTCAATGGCCCTGTTGCATAAAGTTATCACTTTCATTTGTAGAAGGATAAAACTGGCTGTCAGGGGCCAGCTCAGTAAGCGGTACCAGAAAGGTTCACCCCATTCTTGCCCGAAATCCTCTTACAAAAGATGGAAATCTGATACGTAGCCATTCAGTTGTTAACTGCATCCCACACTCCCCATTTCTCTACTTTTTCTTCTTAAGAGCTCTTGGTCGCCTCCCCTCACGTCATCGTCCCCTATAACCAATGACTGGGGACCTCATAAATGCCATCACATTTAAGTATTGGTCTTCCCCAATTTTAGGGGGAGTTCTCAATTTGCTTTTCTAAGGCGGGGGAGGGGGGTGTATCAGAGAAAGACTATGCTCGTTTCCTTCCTAGTTTATTCTTATCAACTGCAGCTGGGAAGCTTTTGAAAAGACAAGCTGCTCATTTGGAAGAATGAGTGTAGCACTATGTCGTTGGACTGGAAGGTACTGGGGAAAGGAGAGCGATGTGATCATGGAGAAATAGTTTGGTATGCCCAATCTAGATCAACATGTACACCTAAAAAGTACTTTAAACAACTAAAAAGCCATAAATGCTACTGAAACCCATTTTTAGTGGGCTGTTTTCTGAACCAGTTGTCTGTCAAACTTGCCCCGGGTTCAGTGGCTGAGGAGCACCAGGTATTGTTTAAAAGTTGGGATTCCCGTGCCCTATCCACGTCCGCTGAGCCAGAACCCGTGAACGTGGAGTTTTGGAGCACATCTTCACAGGGGGTTCTTACTCTGTGATAAAAAGCGGGCAGGCGGGGTGGGGGAGAGAATAGGAGGGTGGTACGGAAGGGAAGGAAAGTAAAGAAAGAAGAAACTCATATCCTAAATAAATTGTAGGGAAGACTATAGCCAACTTCTTGGATGAGGACCTTGTTTTGTGTGTTTCTTCTAGAACCTGACCAAGATGGGCCACACAGTTGGGTCTTTGTTCACACAGATAAAAGTAAGAGTCAGTTAAGACCCTTTCCCACTGTCCTTGCTGGGTGGGTGTTTCATTCATTTAAAGTCAAAGTGAACTCAATATAAGGTTCATTTCTTCTTCAGACAAATTCAGACTGTGGGGTCCAAGTTGACTGTGAGCAAAAAGGCTTGCCAAGCTCTTTCTCGCAAAAGGTACCTGGACAATTGTCACCCATCCCTTTCCCCATCATTCCTTCTGGACACTACAGTTCTCCCATGTGGTGGATCTGCATGATCTCAGAGATCTTCACGAACGTGGCCAGTCCTGTCGAAAGTTAGCTTCTGGGAGACAACTTCTAGGGTGCACTGCAGAATAAATTCGGCACATATAAGCAGAATAAAAAACTCAGATTTCAACTGTTATTCTGACTTTACCAAAACGTTTTCCATTTACAAGTTATTTCAAACTAAAATTAAAATAAATAACATAAAAAAGGCCAGCGTAGTCACGGAAGATGTCTGTGATAATTCTGAAACAAGAAAGCCATATAATTTTAACATATGCATAAGGTGGCCCTATATGTTTAATCTGAAGCTCTCTGTTCAACAGACTAGATGTTCACGTTTGTGGTTTGTTATAAAATGCATTTATTCATGGAAATGAATATGCTATAGAACCCATAAAAAAAGCACAGTGATCCCTTTGAACATTTAAGAGCTGTTTTTAAAAGCTCAGCATGCTCGTCCCTATGATTTCACTTTCTAGAATATAAATTTCATGATATGACACGCAAAGTTATAAATCAAAGATACCGTAGGAAAATGTAGGCATGCATAATATCCTCGTTTCCACCAAGGCCAGGTATCTGCTTACCTTCAAAAGTTAAATGCAATGGAAGCCTCTGCCGTAGCTTTTGGAAACCCTTCCGGTAATTCCCAGTGTGAGTGATAACGTTTCGTCTACACCTACCAGCCTGGAGTCACCCTGGTTAGCTCCTTTGCTCTAGTCATTATTAAGTGTTTAACAGACTTTTAAAAGCTTTATTTATTTATGTGAGAGAGAGAAACAGCGAGAGAGGGAACACAAGCAGGGGGAGTGGGAGGGGCAGAGGGAGAGGGAGAAGCAAGCTTCCTGCTGAGCTGGGAGCCCGATGTGGGGCTCAATCCCAGGACCCCGGGATCACCACCTGAGTCAAACGCAGATAAGCTTAACGACTGAACCACCCAGGTGCCCTGTGTTTAACAGGCTTGAAAAAGATTTCCGCGAACAGTTCTGATCATCTGTTCAACGACTGAGCTCACGCCTAAAGTTTTTCCGTCTCCCGCTCAGGGCCAGTATGGGGTTGCTAGAACCTGCGCGTGGGGCTGCCCCCGGAACTCAAACCTCGTTCAGAGTTAAAATCAAGATGGTGCCAGAAGAACGTTGAGCCAAGTGTGATCTTTCTGGGATGGGGCTCTGTACGCCCGTGCAGGGGGCACGCCCAGGAAGCCAGTTCTCTCTACAGAACCTTTTGAGTGAGACCACTCTGGTTTTTAAAAATTCACGGAGAAACACACTAAGCCGTGAATTCCGTGTGGCCTCACGGACTTCGCTGTGGGAAGACACATACACAGATGATGTGCTTGAGAAAGAATCCTGGGTACAGCAGGATGGCTGTAGCTCCTTGTCGTTCTCCTTTAGCAGGAAGAGCTCAGCATCCAGAGTGCAAAATGCGCAGGAGAATGGGGGTGGGGAGAGGCTGGAAAGAGCCTTAGCTCTGTGGGAGGAGGAACTCCCCCTGAGAAGAATCTCGGGCAGGTCGAGTGCATCTCGGCTCCAGCTGTGCACAGGCGTGTGCTAATGGTCGTGTTGGGTTTGGACCCCAGAAGGCCATTCTGTAGGAGAATGTGGGGAGGTCTCGGCACAGGCGTTTCTGTCCGCCAGGTGGTCTGCGCCCGAGCACACGTGTGCACGGGTCTTTTCGACGCACCTGCGTTACCTACGTATCCCCGTGTCCCGAGCACGTTCTTCATGATCCCAGCTCTCTCTAGGGCTGCCGTCTCCCTGCTGTCACGTCCCAGTGGAACTCAGGGAAGCACAAACGTGCTTACAGGTGGTGCACTATAAATGCTGCCCCAGCTCTTTCCGGGGCACGGCCCCCTGTGGGAACCCAGAGCAGGTCCCTAGAGGGGAAAGAGTATGGGGGAAGACTGCAAGACATGGTGGGGCTGAACCGAGAGTCGTTGGGGGGGGGGGGCACATAGGAGGGGAAGATTTGGGGAAAGATTTGTTTTGGGGCCACCTTGGGAGAGAGTAGTGCTGCCCAGAAAATGGTACACCGAGGAAGCAAGTAGCGTGCGTCTGTGTCACAAACGGGGCTTGCTGTGTACCCAGATGGATTTCCAGGTCATAACAGGGAGAGAAGGGAGGAGGAATGAAGGAAGGAATGCGGGAGGGAGAGGAGGGAGAAAAATGTCAGTCCGGTGTCCCTGCCTGCGTTCTCACTGCTCATGTCCATACCAGTCGTGCCTTAGCTCTTTCCAGGACTTGGAAATGAAAGGAAATTCAAATACGCGAGAGTGTGAGCGAAGCTCTGACCTGGGGCAGAAACCGGGGAGGCAGCCTGCAACTTTGAGGCGCTGCGTCCTTCATTAGGCAGGTTGGACGTCCTTGGGGGTGCCGAGGCCCTCCCTTCCGAGGGGGCACCTCCACCCCAGGCCGGGCTCACTCACACCCGCCGTTTCCCTGGATGGTGGAAGTGGGGGCCGGACGCGGACTACTGGGGAGCCCGGCGCGGGAGACCGACCACCCAGAGCGGGGCGCACCGGGAAGACCCGGGCGGCGCCGCCCTGCCTCGGAGCGCCGGGGCTCGCGGCCGGGTAGCCCAGCCCACGGCCCTCCGCCCGGCCGCGCTGTCACTCAGTTTCCTCGCAGCCAATGGCGCGGCGGCCTGTCACCCTCACCCCACCCCTCGAGGCCGAGCCGGGAGGAGGTTGGCGGGGAGGGCGCGGGGCTGGAGTTGAATGATTGAACTTTCCAGCGGAGTTGCGGCGGCCGCGAGGTTCCCGGCAGTGCGGCCCCCGCGCGGAGCTGGGAGCCTCGGCCAGCGCCCGGCGCCCGCGTCCCCGACCCGCAGCCATGGAGCCCGGGGCGCCCGGCGCGGCCCTGACCCTCTGCCTCTGGCTGCTGGCCTGCGGGGACTGCCTGGCCGGCGGCCCCGGCGCCGCGGCGGCTCGGCGGCTGGACGAGTCCCTGTCGGCCGTGAGCGTCCAGCGGGCGCGCTGCTCGTCCAGGTGCCTCAGCCTGCAGATCACGCGCATCTCCGCCTTCTTCCAGCACTTCCAGGTAGGGGAGCCTCCGCCCGCCCGCGGCCGCCCTGCGCTGCGGGCCGTGGCCGGGGGCGCGCGCGGCGCCTGCCTCCCGGCCTCGGCGCCCAAACTTCTCGCCGGGCTCGGCCGGCAGATCCCGCTCCCGTGCGGCGTGGATCGCACCATCGAGGCGGTCGGACCCCCCTTTGCGGCCGCCTCCTTGCTCCCGAAAGGAGAGAGAAGCGTGCACATCTGTCCCCGACTCCCCTGTTCCCCGGTGGAAAGCCCAGAGGAGAGCCTCTGGCGGATTCCGCGGGTGGGTGTGTGCATTTCTTAGTTTCCCAGGACTTCGGCGCGCGGCACTCGGGGCCGGTGGCGGGTCCCGCGAACTCCCCCGCGCTCCCGGGCCCGCGGCGCCGCCAGCCCCGGGAGCGAGGCCGGGAAGCGCGCCCAGCTGCGCCCGGGGACCCGCGCGACCCGCCCGGCCCCGCAGGTGCCCGCGGGTGGACGCCTCCGTCTCCACTGAGCGCCGCGTTCACGTTCGGCGGGAGCGGGGCTCGCAGCCCACCCGTGGAGCCGCGGAGGCGGCGAGTCGTGTGTTCCAGAGTGTGTGTGTCGGGGAGGGTGGTGGCCGCGGCGGCTCTGCGCGCCCCAGTTCGGAGCCTGGGAGCTTCTGAGTCCGTGCGTAGTGTGCGGAGTAAGCCGGGGGACGCGCGACTTGGAGGGCCACGTTGGGATGCTCCGACGCGAGTCCCCGGGTCAGTGTCTGCCCCCGGCCCTCGCAGGTCCTTCCAGCTTGAGTGTGGAAGAGCGTGTGTGTGAGGGAGCGTGGATGTTGGAGGCTCAGGGGGTGGCACGCTTGGCGCCCGTGCGTTGCCAGGTCCCTTGGGGGGAGCGATAGCGCCGAGGGTCCCCACAGGTCTTGCGTGGGAACCCGGGATGCTGGGGGCGCGTTCGCGCCGCTGGCGGGTTCCGCGGGGGCGCGTCCCCTTGCCTTCCCCGCCGACGCGAGTGCGCGCTGTCCGAGCTCATTCGCGCCCACGCCTTAGTGCTCTCGAGGGCTCTCGGTCTCCGCTTGGCCTTCTCGCTCCTGTCCTTAGCGGCTCACCTGTTCCAAGACCCGGGGTCCTTCTCGCCGCAGGGAACAGTGCGGAGGCCAGGAGGAGACTCGGGGCCCTGCCGCAGGTTTTCGGTCTTAGGAAGTAAACGGGGCAGGGTAAAGGCGGCTTCCAGAGGGGCCCTGGGTATTCCGCTGGGAGAGCAGGCGCTTGTGATGACGGCGGAGTTTGGGGCGAATGTGCGCAGGCTTCGGGGTGTTCATCCTGGCCTGCGAGCTAATGAAAGCTGGCGCCCGGGGGCCCAGGCGCTCACGGCTGGGATCTTCGGAGCCCGCAGCCGCTCGCGAAGTCTGCGTGTGCGGGGGTGCGCGCTCTCGGGGAAGCGACCTGTGGTGGGTTTCAGAGAAGCTGGCGCGCTCCGCGCCCCTGCTGCTTTGGGCAAAGGGAGACCCGAGCGCTCGCGTCCTGTGCTGAAATGACGCCGACATCCTGGAGAGGGTTCGTCCCTGGCCACCGGGTTTCAAATCCGCCCTGCCCTGCCCTGCCAGGCCCTCTCCCGGGAAGGTGCAGCACTATTGTTTCATCAACAGAAAGCAAAACAGAGCGACCCGTTCCTGGAGAGAAAGAGTATCTCTGCTTGCTTTTTCTCCTTCTTTCTTTCCTTTTCTTTCTTTCTTTCTCTTTCTAATTGAACTGTCCGTCGCTGTAACTTATTTGTTTTACAGTTTAAGCGGCTAAAGAAGCAGTTTAGATCAAGCCAATTCCCATGAAAGGCTTTTCTTGTGGTCTCCTGGCATGATTTCTCTTCGGAAGAAGAACCGCTGACAGAATGCACATCGCCTAGACAATCCTGATTACATTTTAATTAGCTGGAGAGGAAGAAGCTGTAAATTACTGCTAGGACTTAGGAACTGCTGTTGTGGCCATGGACTGCCAAGCCACTCGTGGAGGGTTAACCCTAACCTGCTAATGCCCATCGGATTTACCTAAATTGCAGGGATTATGTTTTCCTAAGATGTGAAAAGGCAGCGAAACACTCTCCTTAGAAACCCTCCAGCTTCCCTGTCCCTCCCCCTTGTTAAATAATTGGGAGATGATGGAGGGGTCAGCTGCCACCAACCCCTTACAGGGCACGTGGTGTTTATTAAGAGACAGGAAAGGCGGGTGAGACGAAGCTTGCGGCGAGCCCCTTCTCGCAGGTCACCCCACCCCCTTGTGCAAAGAAGGCCCAGCAGCAGGCCCTTTCCGGAGCAGGTGGCCATTTTCAATGTCTGTCCCACAGCACTAGGGCTCTTTTAAAGGATGGAAGGCCGGTCTCCATCCTTGAGGCCAGCCTAGCGTGGGGACGCTTAGATGTAACAGCTGTCAGGGCTTGGCCGTGGAGACCCTAACCTGTGTCATCACGGTGTGGACAGAGGCTCAGAGCTGCGGCGGGCAGTGCTCTGGAGTGGCCCACAGGCTTGCAGAGGGACGCTGCAGTCTCACGGTCTGTGCTCCAGCTGCACTCGTTTGCCGGCTCTGAGCAGCGCTGCTGCTCACCTGGGGCCTTTGCTTCTGCTGTCCGTGTGGGCTTCACCTGTCCGCGCTGCGGCCCGAAGCCAGGCCCGGGCGCCCAAGCGACTCACTACTGATGCATGGGGATGGGAACGGTGATGGGGGATTCCTGAATTCTCTGGCCCAGCTCCTGACCTGGGAGAGTTCCGGATTTCATCACGGATGGTGAACTGCTTCACGTCCCGGCCAAATGCTGGCTCCATTCGTGGAAAGAAGCAGTGCAAGTCAGCACCTCCCAGGGTGTCTGCTCCCAGCCCCGTGTGCGGGGCTCTGGCCACACTGCCCCTTCAGGTTAGCACCTGCCCCACGCACAGCGTCGCTAAAATCCCACTCACCGAGGAGGTTTCGAAGGACATCCTTCTATCTGTGTACAAACAGGAGATCGGGGCTGTGGGGTCTGGAGCGGGGCGTGTGAGCTTTGGAACGAGGCCGGTCTTGCCGCCGTGTGGATGGGTCACTTGGGCCTATCGCCTTCCTGAACGTCCAGCCTCTTGTGTGTCCCATGGAGGACAAGACCCTGCCCGGCAAGGTGGAGGTCGTAGGCGGCGTTGGGGTTACTGGAGTGATGGTGGCGAGGGAGCTAACTCTAACCAGGAGATTAGTCAGTACCGGCCTCTGTTCTAGGAGCCCTACGAGGCTGTGTAAGGAAGGTACTGTTTGTTTCCCAGCTCATAAGCAAACACAGGTGCTGAGAAGGCAGGTTGCTCACAGAGCTAAGAGATGGTGCCGCTGGGCTCCGAACGAGGGTGCCTGTCAGGTTTTTATTTTGTTCTCTCTAGGATTGTGTTGGTTAGCGGTTAATTTCCTTCAAGAAAGACTGCCTCATTCTCGGGACTGCGTGCAAAGTGAAAACGTATGTCCAGTATTTCAGATAGCAAGAGAAAGGAGTGTTGTTAAACAACCTAAAATATAAAATGCTCTTCCTTCTTTGGTGGCACTTGCAGTGTGTCCTGGGTTTCAGATTTGCTGTTCAGTGATGTTCTCAGTAAAGAAAAGTGTAACAATTCAGTGACGAGTGTGGATTTACTCTTCCTCTTTATATTCTTCCGTGCCAGTGCTACGTGCCAACATGGGAGCATTTCACTTGCATGCCGGCTCCACGGCATTTCACAATTTCTGTTTCCTGGCCTGGAGGCACAGGTGCTTGGGTGCTTGCCCAGAAAGAACACGTGCTTGGCACCCTCTTCTGCAAGCTTCTAGACCCAAGCCTCGTGCCTTGTTTGGAGTGTCGTGTTCAGGAGGTCGAACCAGGGATCTCGCCCATTCCTGTTCACACGAAGCAAGTAGGCAGCCCCAAGGCCAGACTCCTCACTGGCAGATACCTGCCCCAGGGATGGGTTTGCTCCCCGGAAGCCCTGGACCCTGGACCCCGCCCACTAACGTCATGATGCTGTTTCCTGCGTGCGATGAGGACCGCCTCCGCTGCGTCCTGGCCTCATGCATGCGTCAGACCGTCCTTGGACCCTGGTCCAGGTCCCGGCAGTGCCCGGGGTATGATAGTCCTTTTAGGGCAAGGAGTGGGGAGGGAGAAGCTGGGTGGAGACCAGGGTGCCAGGGACAAGGGAGTGGGGAGCCAAGAACCTTTCCTGAGGAGGGGCAGGAGCAGGGGCAGGCAGGATCCCATGTGGTCCAAGGCTCCAAGCCTCCAAAACAAGTTCTGGTTTTCCATCAGACTGCCCATGTGACACAGCCACCCAGGATACAGTCTTCAAGATTCTCCGTGTGCTGGCCACAGAGCATCAAGCCTGGTCATTGGTCCCCCGAAGCATGGACCCCATGCATCGGTCCTATGTCCCCGAAGCGGTCCTGGTGTGGATTTTTTGTACCTCAAGGGTGCAGAACCCTCGGGAGGGCTTAAGCCCAGTTGCTTAAGTGGAGGAGTCCCTCATAGGGTTTTCCACCATGTCCACGCTTATGATGCCCACCAGCGTTCACTTGGGAATAACCTCTACCCCTTGTGTTTTCAGCCTCACGGGGATTTTAAAGAAGAGGGAAAGGACGGAACATCGTCTGAAATGAGCTCTCTCTTTCTCAACAAATGTCACTTACCTTCAGAGTGACTCGCTCTCGTACGCTAGGTGGGATACGCCTTAGCAGAGACCACTCTCGTCTGCCCTGGTTCTGCTCACTGTGGCAACCATGCATGCCAATCTCGAGCCTTCCAGACAGAGTCATGGCACTAAGCATTAGGAGACCCGGAACCTGTTCTTTCTGTGCCTGTGTTTTCTCCAAGGAGGCTCAGGAGAATAGGAGGTCGTGTACAACACAGTCATAGCTCGTGTACAGCAGACGAGCGGGGAACGGGTCTGCTTTTTCCCAGAATTCGGCACTGCTCGGGGGGAAAAAGTCAATCTTCTCGTTGGAAGATAAGTAGCAGGTTGCTGCAGCCTGGGCTCTGTGGGTCTAGAATTTTATTAGTGCTAAG